CGGCTCAAAAGAGCATTCACAGAACAGACCTGAGCAGAGAACTCCCGCGTCCTCCTTGTGTCTGCAGTTGTGCTGGCCCCAGCTCCTGGAATGACCTGTCCAGAGATTGGATTCGTTCCCAGTGCAGTTCACATCATCCAGCCAGATCTGCCCGGATCCTTGCCCATAATGAGCAGAGACAGTTGCATTGATGGCATGTCCACATCCCAGTTGTTTGCAAATGACATTGGAGTCTGACAGATCCCAGGAATCATCACAGACTGTCCCCCAGCTGCCATTGTAATAAATCTCCACTCTCCCGGCACAGCGACCTGTCCCATTCACCAGTCTGATCCGCCTGCTCCCTGCAGGGATAGATCCTAGCTGTTAATATGTATTTTCCTACTGAACAGAGAATGTTTGTGAGATTTGGAAATGAATCACCTGAGCAAACAACACCAACGTCCTCAGCAATTCCTGGCTGGGCTGCCTCAGACATGGATTTGTCACAGAGACTCAGACAAGTTTCATTTCCTGTACACTGGACACTTCTCAGCTCCACGGGGCCTGTTCCTCGCTCAGACTTAGCGGGGTTATAAGCTTTCTCAGCGACTCCGCACTGGAGTTCCCTGCACACCACGCTGGCATCATTCATGTCCCACTGGTCATCCAGCACTCTGCCCCACACACCACGGAGGGAAATCTCAACTCTCCCATCGCACCGGCTCTCTCCATTCAGCAGTCTGAGTGATTCAGAGCGACCTGGGCTCAGAGAGATGGGAAATACACTGAATAATAGTCTCTGTTATACATTAGAAATAATACAGAAGGCACATGAAATTATGGACTGTTTCTCAATAAGAAGGTATAACCCAGTGATCAGAGTGTATCACAGTGTTAAAGGGAACAACCTCTGTCAGAAGACACTTATTCTTTTCACTCTATAAGTGGAAGGTGCTATAAGGATTGCAAACCTCTGAGCTTGACAGAAGGGCTTGCTAGCAGACCCTGTAAATGAGTGAGTGAGGGAATTCCTGCAGATTACTGATTGGGAAAATAGTCTCTGTGGGGGGTGGAATGGCTGCTGAGGTTTTTAGTCACTTTATCCAGTCTTAAATGCCTGGAAGCCAGTGAATAGTGTCTGAACAAGCACTTAGCAGGTGGGTCGTGCATGGTTTAGGAAAGTTTGCCTTGAGGGAGTTTGGCCAATGGAAGAGCAGGGTTCATGGTGGTCAGGAACAGGTTATTGTTGGTAAGTTCCCTTAGTTCCCTCTGAACTTTGCTTGGTAGCTGGCAAATTTCTTGGTTCCCCTGGGTGTGCAGGAGCTCCCAGTGTGAGATAGTTCCTGGCACTGGTGGTTCTGACGGGAGCTGTCCCCTGAACTGTGATGTGATCTCTGAGCCCAACATAAGATTCCAGCTGATCAATTCACACCACACTAAGCAGGTTGTGTGTGGGGCGGGGAAGGGACATTCTCTGTTGGTGAATATTGTGACTTCCTTGGGATGTGAATTTCAGTCTTTGCGTGTGTCTCAGAATCAGTGAGTCCTACAGCAAGGTGGTAAGTTAGGAATTACTCACCGAGTTCAGATCCAGGTGCAGCCAGGAAAGACTGACAATGTTAAAAGACAAGCAGCAGAGTCAGTGCAGGGCACACCCACTGGCTGTGTCAGGTCCCGGTGCCGAGAGGAAAGGGACGCGGCTGAGCTGACGGACACTGAGCTAGGGTCAGGAAGGCTGGGTGGAGCTCGAGCCCCAGCGGGACCCCCCTTTACCCAAAGGGTAAACCTAGGGTGACCAGATGTCCCGATTTTATAGGGACTGTCTTGATATTTGTGGCTTTTTCTTATATAGGTGCCTATTACCTCCCACCACCTGTCCAATATTTCACATTTGCTATCTGGTTACCCTAAGCATGCCCCACAGCCTTTGTGCCCCGGGCAGCCTCAGCTTCGGGTGTCGACTGGAAGGGGTGTAGGGATGCAAGCTCCCTGTCTCTCCTGACCCCTCCCCAGGGCACTGGATCCCTCCTGCACCCCTCTCTTTGCCCCCCCCCATCACTGCCCACCCCCAAAAGCTGGGGCCCACCCAGGTTTCCTGTCTTAGCTATGCTACTAGTGTAGTGTGAGGGTAGAGAGTAGATTTGGGGCTTTCCAAGGAGGCTCATGGATATAACTGGTACCACAGCCCCTCAGGAAGGCCAGATGGGATCATGGCAGATGGAGCTCGTACGGAAGGGACCAGGTGTTTTTTCCTTAGAAGGGATTCTCCTTCCAGCAACTGTAGGGAGAAATCAGCATCTTCATGTGCTGAGGAGTTCCCTCCGAGAACCAGGGGATGGGCTGGGTAGCTAGTTAGGAGAGGCAGGTCAGGGCTGCAGGGAATTCAGTTAGGAATGCAGGTAGCAGCATCTGTGAGAAGCAGGAGAACAGTGAGGTGAATTGTCCCCAAGGTACAAAGGTATCAGCTGTAAAGAGGAGAGTAGACATCTATTGAGAGTGCTGGGCAGGGCCCTATAGGCTTAGTTATGCTGTGTAATTGCATCAGTGACACTAGACTCTGTGGGAGACAGTTCTGGAAGCTACGTGTGCATTCTTACGGAGAAGGTTGAAATCCAGAGCTTCTGCCTCATTCACTTTAGAAACTGGAAGGCCTGAAGAGAATGAGCAGGGGAGCGCAGGAAGAACTAGGATGATCTTGTTAAGAGCAATGACTGTCATTCAGTAGAGCTCAGTTCTGCTCCTGCCTCTGCCACAGATTTCACAGGTGATGCTGAGCAGGTCTCTTAAGCCCATTTTTATGGGGTCTGATTTGCAGAAGTACTGAGCACTCACAACTGTCACTAGGGTCAAGACAAGATGTGGCTACTCAGCTCTTCTGCAATCAGGCAGTGGGGTTGGGTGGAACGAGCACAGGGCTCTGAGGCAAAACACTTTGGTTTATCCTGTCTCTGCTGCTAACTCACTGGGTGGCCTTGGGCAAGTCACTTTGCTTTTCTCTCGGTTTCACCATTTGTAAAGTGGAACTAATAATAATACTTACCCACCTGCTTCCCTGGAGTTTTGTGAGGGTTTATTAATGTCTGGACAGTTCTTTGAACACACAAATCTCTGCAGAAATGGTGAGTACTCTGAAGAATCAGGCCCTGAGGGTCTCAGGTTACTGCCCAATCCCTCCAAGTTTGGAATTTTGGCTTTAATCATTGTATGTAAAATTTTCAAAAGCAGCTAAATGATGTAGAAGCCTAAGTGCCATTTTCAGAAGTGACTTAGGCAGCAAGAGGGAGAAGTCTGCATGGTCTTGGGCTCCTACGTTACTGGAGGAAATAGGATTAAGTCTCTAAGTCACTTAGGCATTTGGAAAATGTTATTCTTGGACTACTAAGTGCCTAAGTCACCTTTGAAATGCGCATCATAAGAGTCTGCTATCTCCCAGGGGTGTTATGAAGACGAATTCATTCATGCTCGTGATGCATTCTTCTACTACGGTGACGAGCACCATAGAAAAGCCCATGAAGAAATTAATAATTCTGTATTCAGTGCAGTGTTTGTGCAGTATGGGGGATAACTCAGTGGTTTGAGCATTGGCCTGCTAAATCCCGGCTTGTGAGTTCAATCCTTGAGGGGGCCATTTAGGGATCGGGGGGGAAAACGTCTGTCAGGGATGGTACTTGGTCCTGCTAGTGAAGGCAGGGGACTGGACTCAATGACCTTTCAAGGTCCTTTCCAGTTCTATGAGATATGTATATCTCCATATATTCTATGGTAAATAAGACCCTGGATCACATGTTGAATGATGAGGATAAAAAATAAATATTCAACTCCTCCCCCCGTCCTCTGAGCACCATCCTCCCGGTATGTTGAAGGAGGCAGGAGTTGGGGGTAGGTGAGAACAACAGGATGTGTGCATGCAATTAGACTGTATCATAATGTATATGCACAAGGGAGGGTGAGGGGCTGAATTAACATTACATAGGTAACCTTAACGCTGTTACATCTTGTGCCTTTGACTAAATTAACTAACGGTGTTTAATTTAAAAAAAAAATTATAAAAGGTAAATATTAGAGCGGGTCAACAACCCAAAATTTTTCCCGTGAAGTATTTTGAATGCAGTATTTCAATTTTTAAACAGATCTGAGATACTGGCCTGTGGAAATGGAATGCGAATTTTTGTTTAGATTCTAACTAAAATTTTGATTCATTTCAACTTTTGGAAAATGAAATATTCAATTTTCCAGTTTTTGGATTTACAGGTTTGCCACTTCCTCCCCCTTTCTATTTTTTTCATCTTTTCTTCCACTGTAAAAAGTTAGAAAAAAGTAAAAGTATAAGAAAGCAGGGGAAAAAATCTTTCGAGTTTTTTCAAGTTGGAAAGATGTGAAGAAAGTAGAGAAAACTAAGTGAATGATAGCACTACTTTCTCTATGGTGTGCTACCAAAAATATCCGCAGGAACTCACATGAGAGAAGGGAAATGGTGATTTTCAGCAATTTATAATTCAGCCAAACCCAGACGGAATCTCACTACACTAGGAGAAGGCACCTCCCTGACCCCAGCACTGACCCCTTCCCAAATCACAAAGGCTCCAGCAATCAAGGAAGGTTCCAGAGCTTCTCAAGAAGGTGCCGAGAATATTTTATAATAGAAAGTGTGAAGCAACCTCCATATTGGAAGTCACTACCAGCTCCTCCTCTAATTACTATTGGAGAATGCTGGGGACAATGAATTGGTGACATGTATGTAACCCGAAGGACAAAGTGCTGCCCCTGCTCTGCTGCCCTGCGTAAGGACAGAGTTGCTGATGTTTTTACTGGAGAATCCAGGGCTTTCCCAGGTCACAACTATTCTTTTGTGATCATATTATTTACTTTAATTTTATCTTTAATACATTTACCATTATTCTACATGGTTTAGGATCTAGCTCCCCCTGTCCTTGCTGTGCCCTGAGGTTCCTCTGCTCTAGGGGGAGTGTCACACACTGAGGGGCAGGTGTCCTTAATCCAGCATCTCTACTGCACTTACCTGAACAAATCACACTGGCATCATTGTCATGTGAGCACTGAGAGGCCCCCAGAACAGTAACAGGGCAATGGCCCAAATGGGTTTCAGTCCCTTTGCAGTGAAATCTGTCTGTCCAGACAGAGCCAGTTCCCTTCACAAAATATTCTTCTCCTGAAGCCTGTATTGCAAACCCACAGTCGAGCTGACGACAGAGAACATTGGCGTCCGGTAAATCCCAGCGTGAGTCACAGAGGGTTCCCCAGGCACCAAGAACCTGGATCTCCACCCTCCCTGAGCACGCTGTGCTGCCATTCACCAGCCGGAACCCTGTGTATCCTGGGGAGAAGGGAGAAGGGGTTTAGAGAGGGAGCCTTGGAACTATTTTATAGCAAATAGTTAAAGAAAGGAAAGTCGGGGGCATTTGATCCCTTTCTCATTAACTTGGCCTGTTTGGGGTTTTGGTCCAACCCTATTAAACCCAGCTCCCTACACAGTGAGATCAGTACGTTGTTTCACCCTAATCTAGAATACACATCATTGGGATTTTAAAGACATTGTGTTGAATTCTTACGTGAGCATATGACACCAGCATCATTTATGTGTGAGCATGTCTGATTCACATGTAATTTCCTGGAACAGGAGAACAGGAGAGACTCATTCCCCACACACTGGAATTCTTCAGTCAAGATCTTTCCTTGTCCTTCTCCAAAGTGACCTCCTCCTGCGATAGATACAGCTATTCCACACTCAAGCTCATTACAGATAACGTTGGCAACTTTGTGATCAAAGTGTGCATTACAGACTGTTTTCCACGTGTTTCCATGTTGTATCTCCACACGTCCTGAGCAGGCACCATCTCCTCCAACCAGCCGGGGCTTAATGTGTCCTAGAAAGTCAATGAAGGCTGAAAATTATAAAGGGGGCTTTGGGAATTGAGGTGCTCCACTGGTATAAAACGTTTCCTAAAATCTCATTCTGGGTCAGTGGGAAAGTGAATGCAGCAATAGAAATAAAAAGGCAATATATTACAAAAATGGAAAAAGTGGGAATTAGAGCAAATCAATATACATTAGAAGTTATGATATGAAGAAAACTGATAAGGGAAGCTAAAGATGTCAGGATAAAATCTGTGACTGGGAGGACTATGAAAAATAAGTTGTTTTTTAAGTATATTAGGAACAAACAAACAAACAAATCCTAACAATGTTGTGGCCATTAGAAATGGAGATGGTAAAATTGTTAAGAATGAGGTAGGAATGGCAGAGGTGTTCAATAGACATTTCCGGTTTTGGACAGCAGCAGCATGTCTATTCATATCCTGTGAAGAGGATGAATCACTCTCCAAACTATTGGTTCCTAAGGAGCATGTTAAATAGCATTTATCAGGGATCAAAAAAAATTTACATCGGAAGGCCTGAATAGCTGATAAAACCACAGAACAATAGAAATGTAGGGTTGGAAGAAACCTCAAGAGGTCATCTAGTCCTTCTCCTCACACCAAGGGAGGTTTAAGTATACCTAGGCACCCCGACAGATGTTTGTCTAACTTGTTCTGCAAAGTCACCAATGATGGGGATTACACAACCTCTCTACATACCCTGTTCCAGTACTTAATTATTGCTATAGTTAGAAAGTTTTTCCTAATATCTAATCTGAATCTCATTTGCTGCTATCTAAGATGATTATGTCTAGTCCTACCCTTGGTGGATATGGACAACAATCGACAAACAATTTTTCAATTATTTGAAGACTATCAGTTCACCTCTCAGTCTTCTCTTCTCTAAACTAAAAATGTCCAATTCTTTGGTGGGGAGGGATAGCTCAGTGGTTTGAGCATTGGCCTGCTAAACCCAGGGTTGTGAGTTCAATCCTTGAGGGGGCCACTTAGGGATCTAGGGCAAAAATCAGTACTTGGTCCTGCTAGTGAAGGCAGGGGGCTGGACTCGATGACCTTTCAAGGTTCCTTCCAGTTCTAGGAGATGGGATATCTCCATTAATTTTTTTTTTCAACATTTCCTCATAGATCATGTTTTCTAATCCTCTTACTCTGTTTGTTTCTCTCCTCTGGATATTCTCCAATTTGTTCTTATCTTTCTTAAGCAGTTATGAGCAAAACTGGACACAGTACTCCAGCTGAGGCCACACTGCTGCTAAGTAGAGCAGGACAATTACCTCCTGTGTCTTACATATGACATTCTTGTTAATACAATTCAGAATGACATTTCCCTTTTTCACAACAGCATCACAGCTTTTCAGATTGTGATCCACTATAACTGCGAGATCATTTTCTGCAGAACTGCTGCCTACTCAGTTATTCCATATTTTGGGTTTTTTTGCATTTGATTTTTCCTTCCTAAGTCTAATGATTTGCACTTATCTTTACTGAATTTCAATTTACTGATTTCAGACCAATTCTCCAGTTTATCAAGATCATTTTAGTTTTAGGTTTAGTTGGGGGTTGGTCCTGCTTTGAGCAGGGGGTTGGACTAGATGACTTCCTGAGGTCCCTTCCAACCCTGATATTCTATGAATCTATGCTTCTCTGATTTTGAATTTTAACCCTGCCTTCCAAAGAGCTTGTGACCCCTCTCAACTCCATGTCAAATTGTGTAAGTATATTATCTTCTCCATCATTCAAGTCATTTACAAAAATATTGAATAGTGCCAGACCCAGGACAGTGTTATTTTTTATTTATCCATAGGAACACAGCAATCACAGAGAAAAGAATAAAGTTACTGAAGGCCTACAGGGCTATGTCTTACCTAAAACTCAGTTTCCCCCTGAAAATCTGGGCTGACTCAGCTTATCCCATGAGCCTCTGCTTTTGGGGATTGTGTTTCAGTCTCCTTCCCTGCAGACCCTTCCTCACCCCCTCTGTTCATCAGGGCTCCCCTGTTAACAATTCCCAAGCTCTCTGTTTAAGATTTCCCACCTCATGGGTCCATTTCAAGGAAGGGGGCTTGTGCTCAGCTTGACCAGATGGAAAAGATCAAAATCCCTGACACCTGTATTGTCAGTTAAGTACCAGTAACTGGGTTCTATGAAACCATTGTCTGCCGTCCTGGGACATGTCGGGAGGTCATATGGTGGTTGCCCTTTGAACCCTGGTAGGAAATGTGAAAATAGCAGTAAAAGGGATTGAAGTGCACATAATATTCACAGAAATACAGATATTTCCCATGTTCTTTTCAGGGGACATAGTAGACAAAGAACATGAGCTCTTAGTGTGATGCTGCTGCAAAAACGGCGACAGTGATCCTTGGATGTATAAACAGGGGAGCAATGAGTACAGCTGCTGAAATGCAGGATTTTCAGTGTACAGGAAATTTCACTCTTTTAAAATTTCCTGTGAATTGGAAATCCAGCTAAAATTTTGTTTTGGAGACTCCAGTCCATGGTGGATCCAACATAAAATATGCTCCCAGGAACCCCAACAGATGCGTAGTGATACTGACATCCTTGTCAGTTTCACCACTGTTAGCATCAGGACAAGCATGTCAATTTCTCACAGCCACTGCTGGGCCTCTGGGGCAGCCCCATCATGTGTCCTGCCCTGGACTGGGGACCCCTGGGCTTTCAGACTCCTTGGCCAGCTGGCAGCCTAAATAGGCAAATAGCCCAGTCCGGGACATTCTACAAGGCAGGGCTGCCCCAGAGCCACAGACCCTGGGATACCGGAACCCATCCCAGGACTTCCAGGATCCCTGATGCAGACCCTGGAGCCGAGCCTTGGCGAGAGTTGGGGCTCCCAGGGCTTTCAGGTTCCTATCCCATGGCAGAGAGCCTGAAAGCATTGGCAGGGCTGCCCTGGAGGTACAGACCCTAGAAAGACCAGGGTCTCCAATTCTGGTGCAATCTGTATGATGCCCCAGAGCTGCAGATCTGAGAAGACTGGGGCACCCAGCCCCCGGACAATCTGCATGGCAACCTGGGAGGGAACCATGGACATTTCCACCAGACCCTGCTTGTGGTTTCGAGAAAGTTTGTTGAACCCAATTCACTTTCATGATAAATGTTCAGTTCAACAAACTGGCATTTTCCAATGAAACTCTGGTTTGCCAAATAATTTCCAACCAGCTCTAGTAGGGTGGTGATTTTTCCTGTGTGTAGAGCACTGGGGAGACAGATACTGCATCTGCTTTCAGTGTCCACATTGTAAGAAGGATGTTAAAAAATTGGAAATGGCGCAGAGAAGATCCACAATAATGATTCCAGGGCTTGAAAATGTGCCACGCAATGAGAGATTTAAGGAGATCAATCTGTTTAGCTTATCAAAAAGATGACCTAGATGTGCCTTAATTGTAGTGTATAAGTACCTTCGCATGGACAAAACTCTACATATTAAAAGCCTTTTTAATCTATTGGAGAAAGGCATAAGAAGAACCAATTAGTGGAAGTTAAAGCCAGATCAATTCCTATTAGAGGTAAGGCATACATTTTTCACAGTAATACTGATGAAACATTGGAAAAAAATACCAAGGGAAGCAGAAGATTCTCCACCTCCTGAAGTATTCAGAACAAAATTGGATGCCTTTCTGGAAGATAAGCTTTAGCCAAACACAAGTTTATATGAGGCACAGGAATAATTGGTTTAAATTC